AGCCCAGACAAGTGGACACACCCGGGAAACCAAACACCCCAATCCATACGGACATTTCCAGCATACACCAGAGCCCTGGCTCCTGCTGCTTTTCAAGGCTCACACCCCATTTGCCCCCACAGAGGTAATTCTCCTCTCCCTTTCTGCACACAGGATTACGTGTGCCTGTTCGACATCTTCACATGAATGAAATCATGTAGCAGAAACACACGAACAACAGCAGGAGCTGTAATTATAATCATTTGTTGTGCGGCCTAGGGTAGGTGACTTCACCTGTCTGAGCCATATTCTCTTCCTCCCTTCTTTTACACATTTTGGTGGTGGTGGGGTGAGGGGTTTGAACTCAGAGCCTCACATTTGCAAGGCAGATGCTCTGCCACTTGAGACACAGCCACAGGTCTTTCAGGCTTTCATTATTGTTTGGGTAGGGTCTCGCACTTTGGCTGTCCTTGTCTGAGACTTTGATCTTCTTCTCAGTAGCTCTCAGTAGCTGGGTCCCACCCACCATTCAGGGGGAATTAAGGGGTTAACCCAGTACCCGAGATACCTGCAACAAGAATCAGTTAACAGCTCCAGCCAGGCCTCCCCTCCCTTGCTCACATCTCTCACTAGCTACTCAGGAGGCTGAGTGCTGAGGATTGTGGTTTGAAGCCAGCCAATGAGACTTTTCTTTTTCTTTTCAGTTGTGGACCTTGAACTCTGAGCCTGGATGCTGTCTGTCCCTCAGCTCTTCAATTCAAGGCCAGTGCTCTACCACTTGAGCCACACAGGTGCACTTCTGATTTTTGATTGGTTAATTGGAGATAAGAGTCCCTCCAACTTTTTTGCCTGGTCTGGCTTTGAACAGCATTCCTCAGATCCCAGCCTTGTGAGGTAGCTGGGATTACAGGCAGTGCCTTACTCCTTAGACTCATCTCCAACTAACCACCAGAAAACTGGAAGTGGAGTGAGGCTCAATGTGGTAGTGCACTAGCCTTGAGCAAAAAGAGCTCAGGGATATCACCTAGGCCCAGAGTTCAAGCCTCATGACTGACAGAAAAGAAAAAGAAAAAAAATTGGCTCCAGAAGAAATGACTTGATAACCAGTGTCACCCCAATTGCTTCAGGACTGGCCCCTCCCAACCCTGCTTGCTGCCCATTGGTCAGTCCAGGTCCATCTGAGAACAATTCTGAATGCCCATTGATAGGTCTGAGTCCCCTTGTGTCCTGGGCTGGTCAGTTTCTACAAGGGTTTCCTGGCCTGCCTCCGGTCCTCAGAACCCATGCAGAAGCTGGAGTGCAAGGGACTCTCATGGACGGGGTTGGTACACACAGCAATCCCCCCACCGTCCAGCTATAAGAGGGAAAAAAGAGCCCTTGGGGGACACCAAAGACTCTCTAGTACTCATCCCTCTTAATTTCCCGGCCATAATTTTCCATGCAGGACTGACTCTGGTTCCGGCCACCAGGGGGAGATAGAGACAGAGCCCTAATGCAAAGCCACACTTGCCAGACATTCCGAGCTACTCAGGAGTCTGGGATCTGAGGGTGGTAGTTCGAAGCCAGCCCGAGCAGAAAAGTCCCTGTGAGATTCTTATCTCCAATTAACCACTCAGAAATCGTAAGTGGCACTGTGGTCAAGTGGGAGAACACTAGCCTTGAGTATAAAGATGCTCAGGGACAGTGCCCAGGCTCTGAGTTCAAGTCCCACAACTAACAATAATAACAAAAAAAGCCGGGTGCCGGTGGCTCATGCCGTAATCCTAGCTACTCAGGAGGCTGAGATCTGAGGATCGTGGTTCAAAGCCAGCTCAGGCAAGAAAATCTGTGAGACTCTCCAATTAACCACCAGAAAACCGGAAGTGGCTCTGTGGCTCAAGTGGTAGAGCATTAGCCTTGAGCTGAAGAGCTGAGGGACAGCGCCCAGGCCCAGAGTTCAAACCCCACCACCAACCAAAAGAAAAACAAAAGAAAATTGGGGAGGAAAGCATGGATGGGGTGTGGGTGTTTTGGGGAGAGATGAAATGCTTTGACACAAGAGGGACCGAAAATCAGCCTCTGAAGCCTGGGGAGGGGGTGGGAATGGGGGGAGGTGTTGAGGAGTTTAAACTTTAACTTCTTGTGTGTAGCATACTTCTCTTTTGACCGTTCTAATATTCGTTCAACACTCCCTGAGTTTTGATTCTGTATCTGGCCTAGTACTAGGCCATATAAGTTGCACAGTGGCACAATAACCCTGGCCCTTCCCAACTCAGAGGCTGGAGTCAGTGACAGGGAGGCAGATCCATCCCTAACAGAGACACCTTAGAATGGTCAAGCCTAGGTTAGGGCTCCAAGGTAGCTTGCTAATATTTATTGGGAGAACAAAGGGAAAAGAGGCAGCAGACAGTGAGTGTTCCGTTTCTATGTGGGATGTTCTTTTTTACCTGATTAATTCCTGACCCTTTACTGTTGAGTTCTGTGTGCTGTCTCTTCCAGGAAGCCTTCCCAGATGCCTGCTTCGACTTTGTCTGTCCAGCCAGGGTTATTAAAATCTAAAGTTAACATGTGTTAACTTTAGAACCCTGAGTGGTCCTTTTAACTCATTGAATTTCTGGGTTTGTTTTAAATCAGTAGATAATGGAGTTTTTTTTTTTTTTTTTGTATAGTGTATACCAGTATTTTGGGGCTTGAACTCAGGGCTTGGGCTGCTGTGCCTTACCTTTTTGCTCAAGGCTAGTACTCTACCACTTGAGCCATGGCTCCATTTCTGGAAATAACAGTCTCAGATTTGTCTGCTGGGACTGGCTCTGACTGGTGATTATCAGATCTCAGCATCCTGTGTAGCTAGGATTACAGGCGTGAGCCAACTGAACCTAGTCCTGCTGATAATCATTATATTCCCAGAGACACTGAGTCTGAACTGTGGGGTGTCACCCACAGTGACAAAAATATGCTGAGGTTGCTGGTCTGAGGTGCCTCCTGTCCCAGAAATAATTGTACTAATCCCATTGACTCAAAAAGATGGACACGTGGCCCACAACTGGCCAATCAAAAGAACCCATTGTCTGGACCACCAGCCATTGGCTCAAGGGTGGCCACAGGACTGGAGCTGAACCAATCAGATTCCTCCTGGAGATGCTTGTGTTACAGGAGACTTCCTCCTTCTGGCTTTGAACCCAGCTGGTGGCCTGCTGGAATGTTTGATTATGATACAACATAATCATACCCAACATTTTTAGATTTATCCGTGCCAGGCACTGTCCTAACTGCATGCAACTTAAGACATTGAATTTTTACAGCTCTGCTGTAAAAATCAACCTTATCTGATACATGGGGCAGAGAGCTTAGAAAAATTGCTCGTTGAAAGAAGACAGAGCCCACGGGGTTCTTACTGTATGCTCCCATCTATTTAAAGCAACAAGTCGGCAAACAATCACTGTGGGCCAGGTTCTATGTCTTGTTTTGTATAGCCAAGAATAGATTTTATCATTTTAAGTGATTCCAAAGACATCAAAACATTAGTATTTCACGACCCAGGGAAATGATGAGACATCTGAATTTCAGTTTCCATAAATAGTGTTAACTGGACAGAGTCCAGCTCATTTGTATTTGCAGTCTGTGGTTGTTTAACTATATCAAAATTGCTGGTGACGCCAACAGCTCACAAAGAAAAAAAAAGTCACTAGCTGGCTCTTTGCACAAAGTTGGACAACTTCTGATTTAAAGTATAAAAACAAACTGGGCACCAGTGGCTCACGCCTGTCATCCTAGCTACTCAGGAGGCTGAGATCTGAGGATCTGGGTTCAAAGCCAGGCCGGGTAATAGGGAAAATGGTTCATGCCTGTAATCTCAGCTACCTGGTGTGTGTGGGGTGGGTAGGGGTGGGCACAGAGACAAGGAGGCCAGAAATTGGGAGGATGGAGGTTCAAGTTGGATCAAGTTAGTTCTTTATCAGCCGGGCGCTGATGGCTCACACCTGTAATCCTAGCTATTCAGGAGGCTGAGATCTGAGGATCTGGGTTCAAAGCTAGCCCAGGCAGGAAAGTCCGTAGAATTCTTATCTCTAATAAACCACTAGAAAACTGGAGGGGGCGCTGTGGCTCAAGTGGTAGAGCACTTGTCTTGAGCTGAAGAGCTGAGGGACAGCACCCAGGCCCAGAGTTCAAGCCCCACAACCGACAAAAATAAATAAATAATTCTTTTTTTTGGGGGGTCCGGTTGTGGGGCCTGAACTCTGGGCCTGGGCACTGTCCCTCAGCTCTTCAGCTCAAGGCTAGTGCTCTACCACTTGAGCCACAGCACCACTTCTGGCTTTTTTCTTTTTGCTTATGTGGTGTTGAGGAATCGAACCCAGGGCCTCAGGCATGCAAGGCAAGTGCTCTACCACTGAGCCACCTTCCCAGCCCCAATTGGGGTAGAGCGCTTGCCTTGCATGCTCAAGGCCCTGGGTTCGACTCCTCAGCACCACATAAGAAAAAAGCCGAAGTGGCTCTGTGGCTCAAGTGGTAGAGTGCTAGCCTTAAGCTGAAGAGCTGAGGGACAGCGCCCAGGCCCAGAGTTCAGGCCCCATGACCGGACCCAAAAAATAAATAAATAAAAATAAATAAAAATGAAACCAAATAAATAATTCTTTATCTCATATACACACAAAACTCACTCACAGTCCTTACATTCTCTGCACACAGCAAATACATGAAACCTGGCTCCTCAATTTGGTGCACGTGTCTTTATTTTGGATGATATATATATATATGTATATATGTGTATATATATATATATATAAAAGAATAAACTTAAAAAAAATACCCCCAACCCAAACCCAATGACTCCCCCAAACCATAGTAACCCCTCTTCCCACCCCGATAAATAGAGACTTCTGTTACTTCACCTCTGCACCCCCCATAAGCCCCTCTGCTATAGACACACTCTGGATATATATTACTCTATTTAGCAATAGATATCTCCCGAAAATAGAATTCCGCCCTGCCGCCTGACTCTGTGCCACTGTGTCCCCACCGCCCATCCCCCCCCCCCAGCTTCAGAGCACCCTCCACTGCAGCACACTGGTGTCCTTGCCACCTGTGGTCAGGACCAGGCTGTCGTCCCACAGGAAGGCCACGTTCGTCACGTGGCTGCTGTGTCCAGCGTACTTGTGGCTGAGGGCCTGTGTCGGGGTGGGGAGGGGGGAGACATGAGAAAAGGGTCAGAGGGCAACAAGGCTCCCCCACATCTCCTTTGTGAAGCTCTCAATAAGTGTGAGGTCTTTTTTTTTTTTAATTGCCTTATGGAAAATGCGATGCCAAGAATGGTGGCACATGCCTGTAAGTCCAGCTATACAGGAGGCGTTGATGTATCATGCTATAGGCTGGCCTCAGGCAAAAATCCCACCAGATTCTACTTAAAAAAGAGGGTAGGCGGGCGCTGGGGGCTCCCGCCTGTCAGCCTAGCTACTCAGGAGGCTGAGAGCTGAGGATCACGGTTCAAAGCCAGCCTGGGCAGGAAAGTCCATGAGACTCTTATCCCCAACAAACCACTCAGAAAACCAGAAGTGGTGCTGTAGCTCAAGTGGTAGAGCGCTCGCCTTGAGCTGAAGAGCTGAGGGACAGCGCCCAGGCCCAGAGTTCAAGCCCCACTGCTGACCAAAAAAAAAAAGAGGGGTGGGGGAGGGCTGGGAAGGTGGCCCAGTGGTAGAGTGCTTGCCTTGTATGCATGAGGCCTTGGTTTGATTCCTTAGCACCACATAAGCAGAAAAAGCCAGAAGTGGCTCAAGTGGTAGAGTGCCAGCATTGAGCTGAAGAGCTCAGGGACAGCGCCCAGGCCCAGAGTTCAAGCCCCACAACTGACAAAAAAAAGAGGGGAGGGCTGGGGGCTGGAAATGTGGCTTAGTTTGCCTAGCATTCATGAAGCTCTGGCTCACTTCCTCAGTACCACATACACAGAAAAAACCAGAAGTGGTGATGTGGCTCAAGTGGTAGAGTGCTAGCCTTGAGCAAGAGAAGCTCAGGGACAGTGCCCAGGCCCTGAGTTCAAGCCCCAGGACTTGCAAAAAAAAAAAAAAAAGGTGCTGAAATGGTAAACTACCTGTTTACCAGGTGCCAGGCTCTGAGTTCAAATCTCAGTACTACCACAAAAACAAACAGGTCCAGAAGCTGGTGGCTCATGTCTGCAATCCTAGCTACTCAGGATGCTGAGCTCTGAAGGATCACTGTTCAAGAACAGCTGGGCAGACAAATTTACTAGTCTCTATCCGCAAAATAACTGGCAACATGCTAGACTAGAGGTATGGCACAAATGAGCAAGCAAACAAGGCTCTCAGTTCAAACCCTGGCATGCATGTACATATGTACACACACACACACATACACACACGCCAGCCACAGGTGGCTTATACCTATAATCCCTGCTACTCAGGAGGCTGAGATCTGAGGATAGTGGTTCTAAGCCAGCCTCAGAAAGGCCATGAGACGCTTATCTCCAATGAATGAATAAAAAAATTGGAAGTGGTGCTGTGGCTCATGGTAGAGCGTTCACCTAGAGCAAGAAAGCTCAGAGACAGCAGCCAGGCCCTGAGTTCAAGCCCTACAACTGAAGGGAAAACAGAAACAAAGTAGTTCATTAACCTTTAAGTGAAGAGAGGTCCTTAGGATCAAATCTAGTGTTCTCATTGGGTAAGTGGAGGAAATGGCCAAAGCTGTTTGAATCTTGCTCCTACCCCCCTCCCTCTATTGCAAACGCGCAAGTGCGCACGCGTGCTCGCGCGCTCTCTCTCTCACACACACACACACACAGCCCTCCAGACTCACTCGAGGCTGACAGCAGGGGTAGCTAAACAAGCTGACTTTGCCAAAGTCATCTGCAGAAGCCAGCAGCTTTCTGTTGTGGGAACGGGCTACGGCGTTTATGTCTGTACCATCTGCTCCTTCTGGCCACACCCCTGCAAGAAGAGTTGGGGAGACCAGAGTCAGCCAGGGCCAGAGGACTCCCAGGAAAAGCAGCCCTAGTCTATGGCTTCCTGAGGAAGCAGGTCTGACTCTCTCTGTACCACACAGAACCACCTCACTCTCCTGCCTGCATCCTCTAGGTCCTAGCTCACATGTCTCTTCCTCCAGGAAGCCTTCCTTGACTCCCTCTTACACCAGGGTATATGTCCCCTGTTCACGTTCCCTGCCTCAGAACTTCCCACTCTAGCTCGTCACTGTCCAGGAAAGTAGGGTTGGGGCAGTCACAGTCATTGCAGTGTCCCAGGGGTGTCCCACTCTCAGGGTCCACACACAGATGCTCTAGTCGTGTGGGGTGACTTGTGTGGATACCCCCCCTCCAGCATGGGAGGTCTCACTTCATTATAACTGGAAGGGTTCTCTCTACCCTGTCCCCCCACAGTGAAGGAGGGAGCTCCCCACCCGGGGAAGTAACCAAGAAAAGACAGTGAAGCTGGGCACTGGTGGATCATGACTGTCATCCCAGCTACTCAGGAGGGTGAAAGCTGAGGATCGAGGTTCAAAGCCAGCCTGGGCAGGAAACTCTATGAGACTTATCTCCAATAAACTACTCAAGCCGGAAGTGGCACCAGTGGCTCAAGTGGTTGAGCGCTGGCCCTGAGCAAAAGCAGCTTAGAGACAGCACCCAGGCCCAGAGTTCAAGCCCCAGGATGGGAAGAGAGAGAGAGAGAAAGAGCGACCTATCTGGGATATTTCTTGGAACCCCAGTCTTCAATTGAGACCACCTTCATTCCAGAACTTACCAAATACCCCAAACCCCAGGACACAAGTAGCAGTGGCCCACTCAATGTTTCTCACTGCATCTGCGTTGGTGATCTGCTTGCAGGTGGCTGGGTCCCCTGAAGGAGTAAATCAGGGAGGTGTTGAGGACTTCCAGAACTCTGCCAGAACCCAAACATTTCCCACATAACAGACAACTGAGGTTCAAGGCAGAAACAGAAGATCCCAGAGGTCTTCCCATGTCTCTGAATGAAGGCTGGGTTCTGTCTCCCCCACACCCCCAGAAACTGCACCCTTCTCAGCCAGAAAAGGGAAGAATTGGCTGAAATCAGAGCAGCAGCCCTTGAGTTCCAAGTAAGGACAGACCCTGAATACTGAGCCAGGAGACACAAAGCCACTGAGCTCAGGGAGGTCTTATGCAAATCGTATGCAAATGAGACCAAGGAAGGAGATGGCTTTGAGTCTCAGCTCACTCACAGTACAGAATCTCATAGTCCCCGGAGTTGGTGACAAAGCAGCTGCTGTCTTGGGCCCAGTCCAGGTGGGTGATGAAGCTGGAATGGCCCTGAGGGGGGGCACAAGGGGCTGAGTTTAGAGCCGGAGAGGGCAGAACCAAGGAAAGGGGGGCAGGATGAGATCAGGAAGGGTGCAAGCCAAAAATAACAAAGGTGGGGTGAGAACACAGTGGGGGCGGAGGGGAGGGCCAGTGGCAGGATAGACAGACCTTTAGGGTGGAGGGGGCCCGATGGGCGGGCTGACAACAGAACCGTGGGGCAATTTACAACACGGGGACCGGGCTGCACAGGGGGCGGTCTTAGGATGCAAGGGGCGGGGCTACACCAAGGGGCAGGCCTATGGTGTAAGGGGCAGGGTTACACGAAGGCATAAACCTATCACAAGAGGGACTTAAGTGTGAGGGTCGGAGCCACAGGATGGGGGTAGGCTTGTGGTGGGAGGAACTGATCACTTGAAGGGGCGGGCTTATCGGGCAAGGGGCGGGGCCACACAAAAGGGGGCTTATAGTGTAAGGGGCGGGACCATACGAAGGGGCGGGCTTATAAGGCAGGGGGTGGAGCCACACGAAGGGGCAGGGCCACACGAAGGGGCGGGCTTATAAAGCGAGGGGCAGGGCTACACGAAGGGGCGGGCTCAGAACACAGGAAGGGATGAGCGGCCGGGCTCAGAGGCCTTGATGCAAGTCAGGACAGGATCAGGTTTGAGTGTCGAAGCTGTATGTCCCTTGAGGTAGAAAATCGGTTAATTGTGCACCCTCTGGGCGGGGTGTCGGCGCGGGCTGGGGGCCACGGCCCACTCACCGAGCACTTGCCCAGGCGGCTGACCTTGCGGCCGCCCTGGTCCACCGTGTACAGGTACACCAAGTTGTCGTGGGAGCCCACGGCCAGGTACGCCCCGTCTGGGGGAGGGGAGGGGCTATGAGGAGGCACCCAGACTCCGCCCCCTTTGTTCCCAGACTCCGCCCCTCCGTCACCCAGGCCCCACCCCTATACTCCCTGCCCCGCCCAGGCCGGGCTGCCTTGGCTGAGCCTTCCCCCAGCCCCTGGGGAGGGGGGGGGTCCCAGGCCTGCACCCACCTGGGGAGAAGCTGACCACTGAGATCTGCTCGTTGCCATCGGTGTGGATAGCCACCAGGTCATGGGTCTCCGTGTCCAGCAGCAGCCATCTGTAAGGAGAAGGGCATGGAGGGGAAAGAGAGGTTAGCTGAGCAGGCTGGGAGGGGCAGGGAGCTAGGGGGACCCCCAACGAAGAGGGAGAGACTGTTGAGGGATCAGGGCCTGGTAAACAGTAGGTGCCTAATTAACAAGGGGATGGGGATGGGGAGAGTAGGGAAGCCCTCCCTCCCCACATTCCAGATTCGTTTACCTGCCAGTCACCGTGCCCACAGCCAGCACAGAGCCACTGGGGTGGAAGCCGGCCGAGTGGGCGGGGTCCTGCCAAGGCAGCCAAGAAGCAGAGCTGAGGCCCTGGGGCCAGCATTCCCCTGCCCCTCCCCCTGGCCCTCAGCCTTCCATGGGGGTCTCTCCTCCCTCCTGGAAACCATTCCCTATTCATGGAGCATGTTGCCCTGAACTGAAAACATCCCTCCTGTCTCTGCTTCTCTATCGTTCTTCTTTCCTTCCTTCCTTCCTTCCTTCCTTCCTTCCTTCCTTCCTTCCTTCCTTCCTTCCTTCATGTCCTGGGGTTTGAACTCAGGAACTGGACACCATCCCTGAGCTTTTTCACTCAAGGCTAGGGCTCTATCACTTGAGCCACAGCTCTACTTCTGGCTCTTTGATGATTCATTGGAAATAAGAGTCTCACAAACTTTCCTGCCCAGGCTGGCTTTGAACTGGCACCCTCAGATCTTAGCCTCTTAAGTAGCTAGAATTACAGATGTGAGCCACCAGTGCCCAGCTATATCCTTTTTTTTTTGTCAGTTATGGGGCTTGAACTCAGGGCCTGGGTGCTGTTCCTGAGCTCTTTTGCTCAAGGCGAGTGCTCTACCACTTTGAGCCACAGATCCATTTCTTGTTTTCTAGTGGTTAAGAGATAAGAGTCTCACAGGAACTTTTCAGCCTGGGCTGGCTTAGAACTGTGATCCTCAGAGCTCAATCTCCTGAGTAGCTAGGATTACAGGTGTGAGACACTGGCACTCATATATATTTATATACATGCACACATACATTATATATATGTATATATATAATTTTTCAGACTTTGGTATATAATACCCAAGTAAGATAGAGGAATTGGGGACACAGCTCGAGTGGGCATGGCTCAATTTACCCAGCTCATGCCTAGCAAGTACAAAGGTCCTTCAGACCCCCGTAGTGTCAGAATCAAAGGAAAAAGGATAATGTAAAGGCCAGGAGTGTAGCTCAGTGGTAGAGTGGGGCCCATTCATCTCCCTGTATTAAACACCCTTCTGCTTAAATGTCCTTGTGTGGCTCCTACCTCATGCTTCACTGAGCTCTGAATTCTGGTATGGAATGGTGTGTCACGCCCCCAACAGCTCATACCTCAATGGTTCTGCTCCACAGGGGCTGGTGGGACTCTGAGCTCCACAGATGCACCTGCTTATCCTGCCCGCATGTCACAAACTGTGCCCGGCTTGGGTGTGTGGCCAGGCCCCATAGCTCTTCCACGTGACCCTGGTGATAAGGAAAAAATGGCAGAATGGAACCTGCAATATGGCCCTTCTCTAGCCACCTCTGATGCCAGAGACAAGTGCTGCAGTTCCTAGCAACCCCCCCCCCCATGCATAGCCAGGCCAGACCTTTCCCCAACAGCACCTTTTCCACAAGAGGCTGCCTCTTGCGCATGCGTGAGGTTCAATGCAAACCCTGTCCTTTCCTCCCTCCACTCTGCTGTCCCCTTTGCACAATGAGAGGTCATGGGGGAGTGATGGGGAGGGGTGATCCTGGACCAGGACCAGGTGAGATTTTGAGGTGAGAGCAGGTGATGTGAAAAGGGATTTGTTCACCTAAAGGAGAAGGGGTGAGTGGGGAGACATGCATGCTTGTAAATCTCAGGTACTCAGAAGGCAAAGGCAGGAAGATCTCAAGTTCAAGGGCAGCCTGGGCATATTTAGCAAGATCTGTCTCTAAAACAATATAAAGAGCTGGGAAGGTGGCTCAGTGGTAGAGCGCTTGCCTTGCATGCCTGAGGCCCTGGGTTCAATTCCTCAGCACCACATGAGCAAAAAGAAAAAAGCTGGGAGTGGCATTGTGGTTCAAGTGGTAGAGTGCTAGCCTTGAGCTGAAGAGCTGAGGGACAGCACCCAGGCCCAGAGTTCAGGCCCCAAGACTGACTGGACCAAAAAAAATTATATATATATATATATATATATATCAGGCACTGGTGGTTCACGCCTGTAATCCCAGCCACTCAGCAGGCTGAGATCTGAGGATCACGGTTTGAAGCCAGCCTGGGTGGAAAAGTC